ACTCTCAAAATCAAAAATAAATTCTCAGTTTAGAACTTAAAAAAATTCTAAAAAAAAAATGGCATTACAAAAATATATTAAGGTTAATCTGCCCTGTTGATTTGTAAGATAGTTTTATATTACTGTGTAGTATATGTAAATAACACATGGAAGAGACATTAGCGCAGAAGTTCTTAATTTGGCTGCACATTGGAGTAACTTGGGGAGCTTTCAAAATCCTAAAGTCCTGATCATAACTCCAGACCACTTGAATCAGAATTTCTGGGAATATAAACTAGGCTTCTCAAACTTTAATGTGCCTATTAATTATCTGGGTCTTTGCTAAAATACAGATGAGTTCACTAGGGCTTGGCTAAGTAACACCTGAGGTTTCTAGCAAGTTCCAGGTAGTGGTTCTGATGCTGCTGTTTGAGATCTTACTTTGCGGAACAAGGCTCCAGTACAGAGTAATTCAACAGCAGCACTGTTGACATTTCGGGCGGAATAATTCTGTTGTTGGGTGAAGGGAGAGCTCTCTTTTGCATGGTAGGATGTTTAGCAGCATTCCTGGCTTCTACCCACTAGGTGCCATAGCAGTACCCTCCTTCCCCCCAACCCAATTGCAACAACCTAAATTGCTCCCTCTTGAAAACCACTGCTCTAGTCTTACTCTTATATGTAAGGAAACTGAAGCTTGGAATGACTTACCTAAGACTGGAGAGCTGGTTCTTGTGCTACATTTCTATTTAACCTGCTTCCAACTCTGTTGTGTTTCCGAGGTATGTGCGATGTTATAACAAGCACTTCATATGTTCAAGATTTGCAGATAGCAGTTATTCTTGGTCTCCAGCTCTTATAACATTGTATACAAATGAGGTTCATTGCCACCAGGTGGCAGTGAATACCCTAGCAACCAGGTTTAAGTAGTATATTCTGTGAAGTAAGTAGCTTGTTTATTTATTTAAAAATTAGAATGTGCCCAGCCGGGTTGCTCAGTGGTTGAGCATCCACCTATGAACCAAGAGGTCATGGTTTCTCAGTCAGAGTATATGCCTGGGTTTTGGGCTCCATCCCCAGTAGGGGGCATGCAGGAGGCAGCCAATCAATAATTCTCTCTCATCATCGATGTTTCTATTTCCTTCTCCTTCTTTAAAAAATTAGAATGTTTCTGTTCATTAGCATAGCTGTGGTTAGAAAAGATTTTTTGATGAGTCGTATGCTTTAAAAATAAATCTTACTATGTTCTAAGTAAAACTTCGTTAATCTTAAACCTTATAATTTTTAACCAAGAGTAGCCCTGGTTTTATCCCTAGATTTGTTTAGCGTGCTTGGTAGTTTACTTTGAGATCTTTTTTTATGGGGGGGAGGCGGGGGAGGTACCAAATTACTTTATTTGAAGGAATGGTACAAATGAAAGACATGAATGAATGATTTGGTACAAGTTATAGAAAAGGGAAGGTAACCCCAACATGCATGTACTGCTTTGGTGACCAGGGAAGTCACCCCTGTGACTACGGGAAGCCAGCCTAAGGCTTAGCTGTCATCACTGTCTCCCAGGGTGTGCTTATCAAAGAGATACTCTGCCATGCCCGTTTCAAGGGCCTCCCAGCATGCGCAAGTTAGTTACAAGGTCTTAATTTGAGATTAGATCCATTCCTGACCTCTTTGGATTACCTTAAATCAAAAGTCCAAGTACTTCTTCCTAGATACCTCATGCCTGCTGGAGAAAGCTTTATGTGTTACCTGATAACAGCTAAGTTCTTACAGCTAGATTTGCCAGCACTCCTGACCAGTTCTTTCAGCTATAAAATTTAAAAGAAACTGATGCCATGATTTTAACTTGTGTTTACAATCCAGGACACAGTGTTTATTGTAAATTCCTCTTCCCTCACTAGATAATTCCAGTTATTTTGTTCTAAACAATTAAATAAATATTTAGCCATTTAAGTAATCTATAATAGCCAGACCTATCTTGAGAATTTTACCTTTTCTACACTCTTGATTCTAGGCTGTCCAAGGAAGTGAATAACTTATAATTTATTTCTAAAATAATTCTCCCTCTCAATAATACTATTTTGGGACTGATAGCATTATTTATATTTTAAAACAGTAAAAATGAGTTGATAGTACAGAAAAAAAAGTAGATCATTTTAGAGGTATTAACTCTTCTAGAGGGGATAACTAGTAAGGAGTGCTGAGATCTGAATTTGGGTATCTTTATACTATGCCATACTGGCTCTCCTAGTACCAAAAGTTTTTTTTAAAGGTTAGGATGTTTAAAATGATTGTTTACCTCTGGCCAATGTTCCTCAGTTGTTGAGCATCAACCTATGAAAAGGAGGTCAGTGTTCAATTCCCTGTCAGGGCACATGCATGTGTTTCAAGTTCAATCCCCAGGAGTGGGTGTACAGGAAGCAGCCAATCTATGTTTCTCTCATTATTGATGTTTCTCTCCTCTCTTGCTCTCTAAAATAAATTTTTTTTAAAAGTATATAAAAAGGATGGTTTCTAACAGACATAAAGGAAATGGGTTTGAAAGTTGCTAGATCAAAATGATATTATGTCATTTAACATCCATAGCCTAAAATAACTATTAAGTACCCTGGCAAACTCAGTGTAATACTTAAGAGTAAATACAAAGTGATGTAGACCTTTGTCCTCAGTGGATTTAATCTAGTTACTTACATAAGTAATAACACAAGACAGTTTGTGATAAAAGTGACACATGGTCATAAAAATTCTGTGATCAGGGGTTGTGGGGAGAACATTCAAAGTAATCACTTTTGTATTAATAGGAATAGATTTTGATAAAGCTTTAAAATTAATCTGCCCTCTCTCAAGTTGAAAACTTTTTTATATTTTCCCATTTGAAAGTTTTTAGAAAAGTCTTAATTCAAAGAACTGCTTCCCAATTCCATTTCTTTTGTAGTATAAAATTCTAATATTTGTAAATATCTTTAAGAATGATTACTACCTTTCTTCTTAATAAATATTTCTTATTTGATCAAGTCAACCATGAATTTTAGATATATTTTGCTTAAAACTTCCTTATCCTGGTTGAGTTGGTGGGCAACATTCTAGAGCAAGGCTAAGTTTTCCTGATGAAGCATGCCTCTTCTCCCTCTTTTTTTTTTTAACACTGTACTTTCAATAAATCCAGTTAGTAAATTCATGAATCTTTGGCTTATTCTTTTCCTTTTGTCCCCACTTGTGGTCATTTTGTTACTTAAATTTATCTGGACTTAAACATGCAAGGGCACAGGGAAGGAAGGGAGTGGGGTAAAATTTAGTTTTAGCACAACTGAGAAAAGATTTCATTTGGTTAAGAGTGTCATTTCTTTTGATTTAAAATAAAATTTCAAATGTTGAAGTAAAAAATAGTGCTCAAATTTGTTTTCAGGACTTAGAGCCCTGTTCTTTTTCTATTATTTTTTAAATAATGGGACATTTTCTTCTCAACATTTGGCTCTTGATACGGTTTTGCTGCTTATGCTTGTGTTTTATATTTAGTGTGTCCTTTAAATTTAACTGTCATAATTTATTTAAACAATTTTTTTTCAGGGTCTTATTTTTGTGGTAGATAGCAATGATCGTGAAAGAATTCAGGAAGGAGCTGAAGAGCTGCAAAAAATGGTAAGAATATATTTTTTTGATTTATCATTTCCAGGATGCATTTTTTCCTAAGTGACAGTGGTGATGTCAGTGGTTGGCACATTTTAACTGTGATTAGATTACACAGGTAAGACTTTTTAGGGCAGAAAGAACTATCATCACAGGTTCTTAAGAATGCATATATGGACACAGACACCAGGGGGTGAGGGCATGAGTTGGGGAGAGTGAAGGGGGCGGGGGCGGAAATGGGGGGGATAAACACATATGTGGTACCTTAATCAATAAAGAAAAAAAAAGAATGCATATAATATAAAAATCTCCTATAGAGTTTTTTTTTTTTTTTTTAAAAAAAACCCCACACACAGAAGAGAAACTACTTAGTAGGCTGGGAGAAAAAGCCCAGCTTGATTTTAGAATGCTCCATGACTGCTTTTGATGCATATCTCTGATTGAGGATGTTTACATTAGTCCACTCTCTTATTTTATAGGTATAACATATGTAGTTCTGATACTTTATGGGTGGGATGCTGGCTCAGATTCCTTGCTCCTAAGGTCATTGGGTTTAGTTTTTTCTATATTGTGCCTACAATGTATACTTTGAAATGTTTTGTAATAGTAACCATGATAAAGAATCCCGGGGAAGGTAGTAGGATTTTGGTTGACAGTGGCATCTTGGCCTGGCCATATATTGGGTTAATGTTTTCATTTGTCTGTTTGCTAAAAAGGCAGGGCGGGGTGGGGTTGTTGAGGAAACTTGCCATGGTTTCAAATTATGGCCATAAAACATTTACTGAAATGAAATCTTAATTCTCATTTATTGCAATCTGTAAAACCATTTTGTCAGTGTATGTGTAACTAAATAACTGCTGGGGTGGTTTTTTTCTTTTTTTGTCTGATGAGTCACATATCACCCCTTCTCTTTTTGTAAATAGTTTTGAGATAAAAGTCACATGCCATGAACTTCACTCATTTGAAATGCACAAGTTAGTGGTTATTAGTTTATAAAATGTTACAGCCGTTACCACAGTCTAATTTTAGAACATTTTCATTGGCCCATAAAGAAATCGTAGAACATTTATTATTTATTCCCCATTCCTTTCCCCACTCTACCCTACACCCCTAGCTCTGACATCCACTAATCTTCTTTCTGTCTCTATATACATATGCCTATTCTGGACATTTATACAATTGGAGTCATGCAATACGTGGTCTTTTGTTAATTTTTAAAATTTTCGTTATTTTTCACTGAGCGTAAGTTTTCAAGGTTCATATTGTATCATGTATCAGAATCTCATTTTTACGGGCTTTCTACTTTTGGTGGTATTCTTGCATTTTTTATGATATTGTTAATATCCTAATCATTGTATTGTTGTCCCACTGTTGTCTAGTTCAGCTGGCTGGAAAGGATAAAAGTCCAAAAAGAATCATTATCTAAATAGTTCTACTACTAAGTACCATAAGGTCCTGTCATAAATATTTATTGCCATATGTGTTTTTTGTCCTTGCCAGTCTTACTCTCAGTGTATGATCATGAGACTGAATAAATGTTTTACCTTAATGGAGTATAGCATGGTTGGCTTGAAAAAGTTTTGCTTTACTTGAAGGCATATAATTATTTGCTCAGGATTTAAAAACTGAAGGATGAGATCCCACTTCTGGGAATATATCCTAAAACCCCTGAAACACCAATCAGAAAGAATATATGCACCTCTATGTTCATAGCAGCATTATTTACAATAGCTAAGACTTGGAAACAGCCCAAATGCCCATCAGTAGAGGAATGGATAAAAAAAAAAAAGCTGTGTTACACCTAGCCAGTTTGGTTCAGTAAATAGATGCTCGGCCTCTGGACTGAAGGGTTCCGGGTTTGGTTCAGGTCAAGGGCACATGCCTTGGTTGCAGGCTCGATCCCCCAGCCAGGTTGGGGCATGTTTCGGAGGTACCCAATTGATGTCTCTCTCTCATCTCAATGTTTCTCTCTTTATATCTCTCCCTTTCCGTTCCACTCTCTAAAACGGGTCCTCAAACTGCGGCCCGACCGAAACATTTATCCGGCCCGCCGGGTGTTTTTGCCGCCACTGTGTGCATAGGAATTTGTTCATAGTTTTTTTTTAAACTATAGTCTGGCCCTCCAACAGTCCGACCTCGTGTTTAAAAAGTTTGAGGACCCCTGCTCTAAAATCAATGGGAAAATATTTTTGGGTGAGGATTAACAACAAAAAATCTGTCACATTTACATAATGAAATACGCAGTTGTAAAAAAGAAGGGTCTCTTACCCTTTGAGACAGCATGGATGGAACTGAAGACTATTATGCTAAGTGGAATAAGCCAGTCAGAGAAAGACAAATACCACATGATCTCACTTATTTGTGGAATCTAATGAACAAAATGAATTTACCAACAAAATAAGACTAGAGGATGGAGGCATGGAACAGAATGACATATCTCTGGGTGGGAGGAGCGGGGACGAGAAGAGATAAACCAGAGAACTTAAATACTTCTATGCATAGCACTTGGACACAGACAATAGTGTGGGTGACGGTCTAGGGCAGTGGTCGGCAAACTCATTAGTAAACAGAGCCAAATATCAACAGTACAACGATTGAAATTTCTTTTGAGAGCCAAATTTTTAAAACTTAAACTATATAGGTAGGTACATTGTTATTAACTTAATTAGGGTACTCCTAAGGCTTAGGAAGAGCCACACTCAAAGGGCCAAAATGCCGCATGTGGCTCACGAGCCGCAGTTTGCCGACCATGGGTCTAGGGGAGTAGAGGCTGGGTGGAAAGGGATATAGGAGGGGAAAATGGGAGATACCTGTAATACTGTCAACAATAAAAAATATATTTAAAAAATAGCATAGGCATACTTACAAATAAAATGTATATAAGTACTGGAAGAAACCCCTCAACAACTGAAGGATAAGAGATTTAAGTTGTAGGAATACCTTAACTTTATGTAGAGAAATTGGGTTGATATTTAATAAATAATATATATAGGAAGACAGTGTTTTATTTAATTTGTTACAATAATTGAATTCCAGTTTTATAGTTGTTAATGTCTTAGCTTTTATTTTCAGCTTCAGGAAGATGAGTTGCAAGATGCAGTGTTGCTGCTTTTTGCAAATAAACAGGATTTGCCAAATGCTATGGCCATCAGTGAAATGACAGATAAATTAGGTCTTCAGTCTCTTCGTAACAGAACAGTAAGTATTTGGCTTATATTAACTTCTTGACTATTAGACTTATTAGGATAATTGTTTTAGCTAATATTTAGTTTAAAAATTTATTAGCTAGTTGTCCCCTTTGAGCAGATAATGAACACATTATTTTACTATAGTTTACTTTTGCTTACACAAATATGATCCCTTTCAGGCATTATTTCATACTGTTATAAATGTGTTCAGTTTTACTTTAAAGAATGCTGATACCTTCTCCATTTTTTTTAGCTTTTAATAAATATTCGTTAAGGATCCAAAGATTTAAATATCTTTATTTTATTTAATGTTTGTTAACTTTATCCTCAAAATGTTTAGTATTGATAAATACGTAGAAAACTGCTCTATGTAAATTGTAATACTAAAAAATTATTGACATTTTAAACTTTTATCTTTTAAATAACAGGCAAATAATTCGTAATTTTGTTTTTAGGAGCCATATTTTAGATAATATGGTTTTGTACCGTAATATCAAAAGCTTGTGGGGCACCCGGCCGGTGTGTCTCAGAGGCTGAGTGTTGACCCACCAACCAAGAAGGTTGCTAGTTCAATTCCTGGTCAAGGCACATATCCAGATTGTGGGCTCAACCCCCAGTAGGGAGCATGCAGGAGGCAGCCTATAGATGATGTTCCTTTCTCATCGATGTTTCTATCTCTCTAAGTTTTTAATTTAAAATTACAAGAAATATTTCCTCTCTAACAGCTTATTTTATATCCGTGATTTAAATATCGGCAAAACACAACATGCAGTTTTATATGTAAACATGATATTACAAACTATTAGTGTGGCTTGTGCTTTACAATAGTTTTTTATTAGCTTGTCAGCAAGGCAAACATTGTACTGTGGCAATAATGTAAAGACTGAGATGTTCCAGGCTGATTTAAATAAAATAAATTGCAAATACCAGTTTTCCATGCTATATGAATTTATGCCTTTTCCCAGCCTTCTGGGGTGTTTGATATTCAAATAATACTTGGCAACATTGTATACTTTCAGTGGTGTTGCAATATTAAAACAAAGTCTTTAAGGCAAAATAAAATGTGAATAAAGAAATTAATAAAAATAAATTATCCCTTATAGATAATTAAATTGCTTTCTAAGTCTTTTTGTATTTGTAACTTTTCATGGCAGTTACATAGAGTTACTAGAGAAAAGATTCATTACCAATTTTATAAAGTAGAACTTTTTGGAATGCATAAGACTAAAGATAATGAAATTATCTGAAAAGCATGTCTCTAAAAATATCAACAAGCCCATACTCTAAAAATTTTGCCTCCTATATTCTTAACTTTTTTAAAAAGTGGGAAATAAGAGGATTATAAGGAATAGGTGGGTAGTTTATTTGTTACTAATCTTCCCGTGAATGTTCTTTTTAGATTAAGTAGTAGATAGTTGGTTAAATTTAATGTGTGGGTAGAATAGTTTTAAATGTGAGAGGAGTTTTTTGAGAAGCAAGAGTTATGAGAGAACTCCCAATCTATATATACAGTTACTTAGATCATTAAATATAAAAGTAATTACTTGAGTTGTAAAACTTTAATGTATTTACTCATTTATTCCTATGGTTTTATGTATTTTGTTTGCTTTGTTTTAAAAAAACTGATTTCAGAGAGAGGGATAGAACATCAATGATGAGAATCATTGATTGGCTGCCTCCTACACACCCCTTACTGTGGATAGAGCCTGCAACCTGGGCATGTGCCCTGACCGGGAATCGAACTGTGAACTCCTGGTTCATGGGTTGACACTCAACCACTGAGCCACACTGCCGGGCTTATGTTTTCTTTTTTTCTGTACGTTTATGGGAACTGCTGGCTAAATAATACCCCTAAGCAATTGGGGGAAAATAATTTTCTGATTCAGAAATTTGAAACTCTGTGTTATACATAGTCTCATGTTAATCACGTATTTTCTTGTTTTTTTCTTTGTAGTGGTATGTTCAAGCCACTTGTGCTACACAAGGAACTGGCCTGTATGAGGGACTTGACTGGCTGTCAAATGAGCTTTCAAAACGTTAAATGAAACTGGATATCTAATCAAGGACATGTTGGATAGAATTTGTCTAGGCTTGTTACAACAAAATTAGTTTGCATCTTGGTTATTAAACAGTATCTGGGACTGGTGCGGGCAGAATATTACAGCGTTTAAACTTATTTTGTTGCCAATTATTGTTTACCAAGTATAAATGTTGCACTTTAGCAATATGCTTGGTTTTAAAGAAATTATCTTTAACTTGGGGGGAAAAAGTGTCCTCTTAATTTTAT